ATGATGATGGTGGTGATGATTCTGATGACCAGGAGGAGGAGGAGGAGGAGAAGGAGGAGGAGGAGGAGGAGGAGGAGGATACTCGGCAACGTATGTTATTTGCAGCTTTCGGCCTCTGGAGGCCCGATCCAGGCCCAGGGATGGTCAAACATTGCTCGGACAGGTTGTTCACAGTCTTCGGCAACTGAAAGCTTGCTTCGGGCCTTGGGACGATCAAACAGCGATCCGCACCGAGCTGGTAGCGGAAGGGGGCGAGCCTAAATCATCGGACGGTGAGCGCGCGCGCAAGACACCTAGAATTGAGGAACACCCCACCGGTGGCTCTGATCTTCACTCCGCCTCCAGCGGGGGGGCGGCCCCTGGCGGACGCGCATATCACTCTTTCCCGCCTCTTGCGCACCAGGCCCCATGCATCCGCGCCCCGTACACACCCCACCCGGACCCCGACGATTGCCTCTACAACAAACCCTGCAAGAACATACGCTGGCACTGCGCATGGAGCTACGAAGCCAACCGCTTCGAGACGTGGCCAGAGGTTGTGCACAGGCTGAAAAGGAATGCTGGCCCATGTTCGTCATTGGCTGGAAAGCTCTCTGCGACCAACGGGTAGGACGGCCTGGGGCGACTTCCGACCCAGACGGACGGGATCGCTTCTGCGAGGAGATCGTTTGCCAGTTGCGCGACGAGAACTTCGACATCCGACGGTTGTGCCGAACGCGGGGAATCCACATAAACTGGCGGACGGCATTGGACGCGCGCGCGCAAAGGATGGAGCAGCTATCTGGCAATGGCAAGGGTAAAGATAAGGGCCCGGACCCGACGGGGAAAGGCAAACGACGCGCCGACCCTACCTGGCCAAATGACGAGCAGTCCAGACAGCGCCTCCCCAGCCGCCACACCCACCGCCCGTAGCTCGGTCCCCGCTTCAGGGAGCTCGGCTCGGCACGCTCCACGCGCGGACTACCGCGCGCGGGAGAGCCTTCCCGGGCCCCGCCGAAGTGCCCCCCCCCCCCCCCCCCCCCCCCCGCCTGCCCTTGCCTCCAGTGCCACACCACCGCGCTTGTATCCACCAGGCGCTCTGAAGGCCGAAGGGCACCCAGCCAAGCCGCCCACGACCACTCGCCGCCCGCGGGCGCCCTGCCGACCCGTGGGGGACCTCGCCGCGCAACGTCCTGGCACTTCCACTTGGTCCTCTTCTGGGCTACCTCTTCGCCTGGCGCCCGCCCCCCCGCAAGGCATCGCCCTGCCCGCTGCTCGCCTATAGTTGCCGAGTCGGCGGGCCTGGCGCCAGGGCCCTTGCCGCGGTTTTGCCATCGGACGGCGGTGGGCCCGCGCTCCCCCCCAGTGCGGCCCTCCCCCCCCCGGCGAGGGGCGGCTACTGTTTCCTTTCGCTTATACCGACCTGCGCCAGTTCGGTGCGTTCCGCCATCGGCGGGGGCCTCCTGCCGCTTCCCCCGCGGTGGCTGCCACCCTCCCCTGTGGGCCTCCCCCGCACTACCCGTTCGGCTGCACCAGTTCGGTGCCTCGCTGCCGCCTTCTTGGAGGGGGCCCCCTGCCGCTCTCCTTGCGGTGGCTGCTCCCCCCTTCACCCTGCGGGCTTCCCGTCCCGCACGGAGCTCGTACGCGCCCCCTTTCGCCTGCACCAGTTCGGTGCTTCGCTTTCGCTACGACGCTTCTCAGGTGCTGACGGGATTACCGCTCGCTCGGCCAGTCCTTCGTTGCCGTCTGCGGCCGGCGGGCCACGCTGGCCCCTAGCCTTCCCCGCCGCGCGAGCACGCGCTCCGCCGCTGCTCAACGCCAGACGCCCTGCCCCCACGCTGGCCTTTGCGCCGCGCGGTGGGCGCCGCTGGCGCTGCTGCCCTGCCGCCCCATCTGTGGGCCCCACAGGTGGGGTGTCTTCCTCCCTGTTCGCTTCCCCCCCGCTCGCTCTCCCCCCCCTCACGCGCCGTCATGGCGCCGCTGGCTGTTCGCAGCCGCCGCCCCAGACTGCCAGCAGCCAACATCCGCGCCAGCTCCGGGCCTGGTCTTGCCGCCAGCCGTTGGCGCCCAGCTTCGGCTGACACCACGCCCGCCCCCGCCCTGGGGACGGGCTGCAGGCAGGCTCTGGCACTGCTCGTGCTGTACCGTTACACCCAGGATCATCCCCCGCATTGGGCCCGCAGGGTCCGCCGACGCAGCAGCCAACACGGGCCCGCCTGCGGGGCTGGCCGTGGCCGCGTCACACGCTCGGGGCGTGACCCGTCCCCCTGAGCGCCTCGCTTCTCTCGCCCCCTCTTTCTGCAGCGCTTACCTCCTCCTCCATGGCGGTACAATTATTCGCCATACCAGCACCCCCGTTTAGGTCTTTCTTCTAGCGAAGCCTTCCCCTGCCTCGCCGCCGACGCAAAAGTGTGTTTTTCACCATCCTTTGGTGTCATGCCGACTGCTTCTGAGCGTGGAGAGGAGGAGGAGGAGGAGGAGGAGGAGGAGGAGGAGGAGGAGGAGGAGGAGGAGGAGCACGAGGAGAAGGAGGCGGAGGAGGAGCACGAGGAGGAGGAGCAAGAGGAGGAGGAGGAGGAGGAGGAGGAGGAGCAGGATGGCCCGCACCTCTGGCGTGGAAGGAATGGGCGAGATTGGGGGCGGTGCGAGAGCGGGAGGAAAGGGGGGAGGGGGCGGAGCACGTCGCGGCGCTCGCTGTCCCCGTGCCAGGGCGCTCTACCATAGAGCCGCAATGGAGGGCAAGGGCGAGGCTCGCCTGCAGCCCGCGCAATAGTGCCTGATGGCGTCACACAGGGGGAGGCGACGTCGACGGCGGCGGCGGCGAAGACCGCGGGTTTGGCTTGGCCTCCAGCCTTGCCCGTGGCTCTCTCCCTGCGAGTCTCCGCGCCCTGGCCGTGGCTCTGCCTTTGGCCCTGCCTCTTCGGCTCCGCTTCTGGCTCTGGCAACGGTCCAGGCGACGGTGATGGAGGCATCCTGCCGGGGCAGCGGCGACCCGGCGGCGGCAGTGGCGGCTGTACCAGCGGCGGCAGCCGACAGGAGGCTGGGGGCACAGGGCGTCAGGGATGCGGGCAGCTAGGTCCTCCTCCCCCTCCGGCTCCCCCCCACACCTTCCTCCTCCTCGTGCTCCTCCTCCGCCTCCTTGTCCTCCGCGTCCTCCTCGTCCTCCTCCTCCTCCTCCTCTTCCTCCTCCTCCTCGTCCTTCCTCTTCCTACGTGTTCCTCTGCCTTCTCATCCTCCTCCTTCTCCTCCTCGTCCTCCCCCTCCTCCTCGTCGTCGTTCTCCCCCCTCCTCCTCCTCCTCCTCCTCCTCCTCCTCCACCTTGTCTTGTTTCTCAAGGCGCCCTCCTGGGTGCGTGCACTCCGCCTCCGCCGTCTCCTCTGTCTCCTCCTCCTCCTCCTCCTCCTTCTCCTCCTCCTCCACCTCCTCCCCCTCCTTCTCCTCCTCCTGCCCTTTCTCCTCCTCCTCCTCCTCCTCCTCCTCCTCCTCCTCCTCCTCCTTCTCCTCTCGTGAGTGCAGCCCTCGCTGGCGCATATTTCAACTGCTGGGCGACAGGGGAAAACGGGATCTATTGCCCAGGCAGCACGCCGGGCCACCGACCAGCCGAGTGCCAGATTGCCAAAAAACAAAAACCCGCAGAACTGGTCGAAGCTGATGAAGCTTCCGAGCAGAAGCTGGAGGAGGAGGAGGAGGAAGAAGAGTGAGGGGAACGATAAGCAGCAGGATGATTCGCAGGGAATAGTACGAGGAATCTCAGGTGGAGGAGGACGACGAGGCGGAGGACCAGCACGACTCCTCCTCTTACTCCTTCTTCCTTCGAGGGTCAATACCTTCGCCTCCTCTGCCTCCTCCTCCCCCTCATCTTCTTCTTCCTCCTCCTCCTCTGCCACTCCTTCTCCTTTCCCTCCTCCTCCTCGCTCCTCTTCTCCGTCGCGAGACCATCATGACTCTTTGGGGCACGTCTGAAGCTTCGGAAAAAGACCATCTGATATCGTTCGATAGTCACGGAAGGCGTCTGGAAGCTAAGGGACGCTCAGAGAACATGCCCTACGCCTCCTCTTCAGGCCCTTTCTACAAGTACACACTGTGAATACCATTATCCCCTCTCCCCTGATGACCTCCGGGGCCCCCCTCCGCGTGTATATTTTTACACCGGATTCCCAGGGAAATCGGTTTTCTCGGGTTTTTTGTTTCAAGTTGTTGCTCCCGCTGTTGGCCTCATTTTCGTGCTTCGCTCGTTCCGAATCGTGCTCCCGCTGCAGCGCTGGCCTCATTTCCGCGTTTCCGCTCGATCCGGATTGTGCTCCCGCTACAGCGCTGGCCTTCCTTCCAAATAGCCCCCCAAATTTAGAAAATGCCCCCCCGAACAAAAACCGTCGGAGTTGATTACGCATTCGGTGTCGATTCGTTGATTTCTTGGGCCGCAGAGACCCCCCTTTGGGGCGTCGTCGTTTTCAGGAAGTATCCTGCGGGAGCCCCGCCTCGTTTTGAGAAGGCGATGTTGGAAGCAGAGCCAGCGGGTGTTCTCCATCAGCACCGTCTTGTGTTCGGCTTTTCGAGGAACCCAAAGAGCTAGACATAGAGCCACGATTCCAGAACGGCCCAGATCTCTCGAAGACGGTCCACTTACCCTCCAAAGAACTTGGCGCCGTGCCATGACATGCTGTGCGGTGTTGTGTCCTGCGACGCTGTGCGATACAGTGCTTTGCGTTGCAATGCTTTGTGATGCAATGCTTCACTGCGCAATGCCACGCCATGCTATGGCATGCTACGCTCTGCCCTGCTGTTCTACGCCATGCTATGGCGTGCTTTACCATGCATCTCGCGGTCACTGACCTGCTCGACATCCGACTGTGCGAATAGAGAGGATATCTACGCCATGGTAAGAGATGGGAGGGAGGGGTAGGACGTCAGATATGACGCGAGTGCGCCTAGCCTGCCTGCTCCCCCTTCCTCTCGTCCCTCTCTTACTTGCCCCTGTCCTCCTCCTACTCCTCCTTCTCCTCCTCCCCCTCCTCCTTCTCCTCGTCCGTCCCCGTCTACCCTCGACGCTCGATATCTCTTTTCCTTGCTCTTCATTCTCCAGGGGCATCCACTGACCCTTACAAGATTTGACAGACGCGACGAGACAAGCCCCTTGACTTGTTCGTGATCCTTCTCTTCCAGCCCCCCTTTCCGCTCCCCTTCCTCCCCGTCCCTTTCCTCCCGCTCATCCTTCTCCTTCTCGCCTCCACCTCCTCCCATCTTTGTCGCTCGATCGCTCCTCCTGTTCCTTTTTCTGTCCCGCCTCCTCCTCCTCCATTGTTCCTTCCTTATATTGCCTGCTTTATACATGATGTGTGTATGCCTGTATGCCAGTATGGATGTTTGCATGCATGCATGTAGCCAGGTGGGCATGCATGCAGACATACATGTATGTTTGTACGTGCGTATGTATGTATGTATGTATGCATGCATGCATGTACGTATGTATGTATGCTTGTATGTATGTGTGTATGTATGTATGTATGTATGTATGTATGTATGTATGTATGTATGTATGTATGTATGTATGTATGTATGTATTTGTGTATGTATGTATGTATGTATGTATGCATGCATGGATGGATGCATGCATTTATGTATGTATGTATGTATATATGTATGTATGTATGTATGTATGTATATATGCATGTATGAATGTATGTATGTATGTATGCATGGATGTATGTGTGTGCGTGTATGTATGTGTGTATGTATGTTTGTATGTGTGTATGGTTGTATGCATGGTTGTATGTATGTATGTATGTATGTATGTATGTATGTATGTATGTATACATGCATGTGTACGAATTTAGATGGATGTATGCATGCATGCATGCATGCATGTGTGTTTAGGTATGTAGAGTGTCTGCAGGTTTGTGTGTATGCCTGTATGTATGTATGTACGTATGTATGTATGCATGTATGTATGTATGTATGTATGTATGCATGTATGTATGTATGTATGGATGTATGTACGTATGTGTGCATGCATGTATGTATGTATGCATGTATGTGTGTATGTATGTATGCATGCATGTGCATGTATGTATACCTGCATGGATGTACGTATGTGTATTGCACATCTGAACGACTGCATTGGCGCTTCGCGTCATTCACTTTGGTCCTGGAGGTTTGGCATGCAGGTGGGAGGGCAACAAGGCAAGCCGTATTATGTAACGATAAGTCATCGTTGCCTTTGTTAGGTATCGTCGTTGTAATGATGTTGTTATGTATATGTCCCTCATGTTTCCTTTTCCTCCTCATTCTCGCCCTACCCTTCAAATTCGTCCCCATCCTTATTTTTGGGGGCGGAGGCTCATCCTAGAAGAGCCTCTTGTAAGTCGAACGAAGATTTGTAAGGTCCTGTTGGGGCCTTCTTGAAGCCTCCTGGGTTTCTCCTGGGGGACTCTGGGAGCTTCCCCGGGCCAGCTTGCTTCCAACCGCGGTCTCCCTGAACACTTGGGCTACGATTTGGAATGATTCGGGAGGCGTCTTGGGGCCATCTTGGGCCGTCATGGGGCTCTCCTCGGGCCATCTTGGGGCCCTGTTGGGTCGTCTTGGGGTTCCTCTTGGACTGCCTGGAAGCCCTCTTGGTTAAATTTGGGGCGATTCTCTGGCCTCCTGGGCGGTCTCGGACGCCCAGAAGACCGAATAACCAAGCATTCCCATGATGATACAAAAGCCGTAGGACATCAACTCTGTTTTTTGCGTTTCGAATGCTCCTTGGGGGTCTTCTTTGGGTCGTCTTGGGCGTTCCGGTGGGTGTCTGGGGCCTCCGTGGGCTCTCGTGGGGCCGTCCGGCCGCCCTCGCGACCGATTTGGGTCAGTTGCCTAGGCCTTACAGGGGCTTCAGGAACCGTCTGCAAGGGCCTCCAGGTTGCCCTTGGGGCCTAGGATTCGGACGGATCCCGTTTACGGGGGGGCTCGCAGGGTCCCAGACTATGAAAATATAGGAAAGGGGAATTCTGGAGCCAGTTTGGCTCAAATCATTTCGGCTCAAGTAAACAATTTCTTCAAGGCGGCATCAGGGTGCCCACTTGGGGGAGCGAGCGAACGACCCTCGCCTCCAGACAGTTTCAGGGCCGAGGCGACTCTGCCTCACTGATATCTCACGGCGTTCTGATACAGCGACCTCGCGAACAACATTCAGACTCACGATCACGTCCGTTTCCGACCTGCGGGGTCCATGCCTGGCGATGATGCCCACGGGGCTCGGCAGGCCGCTCGCCGCCAGCGGCCTCCGAATCCGCGTGCCAGCCAGTCTTCTTCCCCTTCTTCTTCTACCTCTGGTGGTCGTTGGAGCGGTGCAGAGGGAGATCGGACAGACTGTCGGGAGCATCGGGAGCACAGCCCTCGTCTCGCCGTTGACCCAATCACGGTCGCCGACCCACGAGAGAGGTCGAAGGCCAAAGACATGCCCACACCGAGCGACTCTGTTCATGGTGCTCCTGTGCTTCATGGGCTGGGGCTTTCTGCGCGCGCTGAAGTCGAAGCAAATGAGTCCGACATGGACGCAGACGACAACCGCCCCTACTTCGATCCTGCGCAGGCCAGCAACCCTGTCCAATGCGGCGAGTTCGACAGCACCCTGACGGACCTGCGCAAGTACATCGCCGAGACAGCCCGCGCATTGGAAGCCAAGCTGGCCAACGACCTGTCGAAGGCCACGTCGCAGGCGTTCACGGCTGCGGTTCGCAAGCAGGTGCGCAGGAATGGAGAAGTTGAGTT